CCTCCTGTAGGAGGGACAGGCCCGACTTGACCCTAGGCAAGGGAATGGCCTTTCGTGCGCGGCTCCTGGGGGGCGCGAGGAGGCCAGACACGCAAGCGCGCGGAAGCCGCTAAAACATCGCACCGCGCGCGGCGGCCTCGGGGGCCCCCAGAGGGGCGAGCGCCAGAGGCTCACTCCGGCAAAGGGTTACTCTTTGGAGGCCTGGAAGTTGGCACCAACACCAGCACTTGGGGAAAGATGATCCTCGACTTCGGTGTTGGTGGTAATATTTCGGTCGCCTTGGGAGCCAGAATCTTACCACCATCACCGAGATCGGGATCGTCTCCCCTCGGTGGCGGCACGCCGCCGATCTTGGTGTTGGTGTCAACCTAAAGGCCTGCAGTGGCTGCGCCAGAGGAGAAGTTTGCAAGCCTTGGGCCCACATCGCAAGAGAACGCCACAGTGGCGGTCATTTGGGGGGTCCCTTCGCCAAGGCGTGCTCCATACGAGACGGAGCTGAATCAGAAGGTGGCTGAGCCAGAGGAGAAGTTTGCAAACCTTGGGTCCACATCGCAAGAAAACGCCACAATGGCGGTCTTTGGGGGGGTCCCTTCGCAAAGGCCTGCTCCATACGAGACGGAGCTGAAGAAGAAGGTGGCTGAGCCAGAGGAGAAGTTTGCAAACCTTGGGTCCGCATCGCAAGAGAACGCCACAGTGGCGGTCATTTGGGGATCCCTTCGCAAAGGCCTGCTCCGTACGAGACGGAGCTCAATAAGAAGGTGGCTGAGCGGCTGAGCCAGAGAAGTTTGCAAGCCTTGGGCCCACATCGCAAGAGAACGCCACAGTGGCGGTCTTTGGGGGGCCCCTTCGCCAAGGCGTGCTCCATACGAGACGGAGCTGAATCAGAAGGTGGCTGAGCCAGAGGAGAAGTTTGCAAACCTTGGGTCCACATCGCAAGAAAACGCCACAATGGCGGTCTTTGGGGGGGGGTCCCTTCGCAAAGGCCTGCTCCATACGAGACGGAGCTGAAGAAGAAGGTGGCTGAGCCAGAGGAGAAGTTTGCAAGCCTTGGGTCCACATCGCAAAAACACGCCACAGTGGCGGTCATTGCGGGGTCGATGTGGGAAGAGTTTGGAGACGAGGCAGAATATTGGGTGACGCGGCAGCTCCAGCACATCGAGGCGCCACTGCCGCTCGATACATTTGCCAACGGAGACTTCGCAGGCATATCATTCGCAAGGTTCGCATGCAAAGCTGAACGCGGTACAATTGTTTCCAAAGGTCCAAATTGGAGTGGCAGGGGGAACCGACGTGGGCCAAGGTGGCTTTGCCGCTGAGAGTCCGCATCCCTAACTCGATCATCTTTGCTGCGAAACGCTATCTGGTCAAATGGGGCTATAACCTGTCCGCTCTTTGGCCGATCCTGAGACGAACACCTCGACGCTAGCCAATGACCTCGTGATGGAAGTGAACATCCAAAACGACGACATCCGCTTTTGCTTCGAGCCGGGCTGGGAGGAGCAGTTCCAGGAGGCAGGGCGTGGACCAGAGAGCAAACGACACCACACCACCTACGGCCCCGCGGGGCTCGGCGTATGCCAACGAACCTGGCGTGGGCTTTTGCGTCGTCCACGCTACAGCCCCCGATGGGGCCGTGGCGCAACGTGAAGGGCCATAGGTGGGGTGGTGTTTTTTGTTTTTGTTGGTCGAGGACGAGCTCGAGAGGGAGTTAGGCAGAGGGAGTTGGCAAAGGAAAGCCGGGGCACCAGGGGCCCCCTCGCGCGGCTGCACAGTTCGCCACCGGTTCTCCACGTCATCCGCTTGCAGAGTGCAAGGCTTTCTGCAGGAATGCAAGGACCAATTCTCCGACCAGGCTGCTGAGCTTGCTTGCCGAGTTGAACGGGCTCGTCTGGGATATCGTGGGCTGCAATCGGACACGGGCTGGTGATGGCGACGATACCTTGGCAGGTGGGCACCGTTCATTGTCGAGCGCAGATGAACAAGTGAGAAATTTGGGTACCTCTATCCTTCTTCATTCGCACCTTGCTGAGAAAGTCGCCCACATGCGACAGCTTTCTGGCATATACCTGTTGGTGGACATTGCCACAGTGGGCAATGCTTCCGGGCTGTCTTTGTTTACGCCCCACACGGTGGGCATTCAAGGGCTAACCTTGACAATTTCTACGCTGGACTGCGGAACGTGATGGCGGAGCCGACTCGACAGAAGCGGCAACCCTAATGAATTGTGGCGTTCGTGGGAATAGTTTTTCCCCCGGTTTTGTATCGGGAAACTACCTATACGTAGCAAATGGTGACGAGATAGATTGGGAGTTGCAGTGGAAATTCAAAAGTACCTTGGGACATGAGCGTAAGATCGATTGCATATTTTGTTCCTCTCCGCTGACTTCGTCCGGTTCGGCGGTCACGAACGAACTCGATTGTGGATCTGACCATCGTGTAGTTTACGCGTCCTTTCTGGTGCCTTCTTCAATCGCAAGCATGCGGATAAAAAGATCGTCGACGAAACGGGTGGGCCCTCCGACCTAGCTCTGCTGGGTGAGGCTGGGGATGTGTCTCGACATGCATTGCAAGATGCCGTGAGATCAGCCTCGCGCGCTTCTGGTGCGATCGGGGCCCAACCTCAATACCAGCAGTTGGACACAACAGAGTTCATCGACTTCAGGAAACGACGAACATGTTGCGCAGATCGTGCGGGTCGTGCTGTCTTGTCCGAGGGATTTGCCTAGAAGACGACGCAGGCAAACACAACGGCTGGAAGAGCAACTTTCAAAAGATCGGAACCTCCACCGGCTCCAGCACATAGCTGCTGAGCTCAGGAAGCGCAAGACGTCCGACAAGTCGAAGCTAGAAGATTGGGTAATGATTCTTGGGGAGCTGTATGCTTTAGACCAGGCTCCAGCAGACAGGGGGAGCGCACTGCTATCGCGAAATACAGTCGGGGCGTTGACCTAAGGAACCCTAAATAAGGAACGAGGCCCCTTTTTTGCCATAAGTTGAACTTCGATTTCCGATCGAACACCTAAGGAAAATCCAGGGCAAGCTGCGAAACAATTCAGGAACATGGAGCCCCTCCCCAACGAAAAGGGTTCCTTCTTCAGGGCCCCGACTGTATTGGGCTGTCCACCATGGAAGAGCTAGTCAACGCATTGAAGGTTCTCTTCAGAAGCAAGTGCGCTGACAAGCACGGGGTGGTTCTGCGGATGCTCGCGCAACGTGCTGTCATCAGGTGCGTATTGTTGCGGGGGTACAATGATGTGATACAGAGCGGCGGCTTTTCTAGCGACTGGAGTGAGTGGAGTGAGTTGACCTTTGTGACGTTGCCGAAGAGTGGGTATCTGAGGGACGCGCAACATTGGCAGCCAGTTGCATGATCGGGGCATCGCTGGATTGGAATCTCCCGGAGTGGGTGCAAAGCGTGGATCTCCGCAAGGCTGTCGACAACCTCGAGCACAAAGCTTTACCAGACTCGCTGGCAGAGCTTGGGTTGCCATACAAGTATATTGTACAACTGGAACGCACATGTTCGGCTCAGGTTTGGGTTGTCGACGGCACTTTGTTTTCGAATTCGCCACGGAGTTAGGCAAGGAGACACCTTAAGCCCGCCCTTGTTCAGCGCAGCAACCGAAGTCGTCATGCGCCAGTGGAGAATGCGCCTGTGTGCTGAGCCTGGCTTCAAGCTTTCAGGCGACGCTGCTGTCAGACTGACGGACGTCCGCTTTGCGGATGATATCATACTGTTTGCGAAGTCTTTGCGCGAGGTCGAGAAGATGACCGCGCTGCTGGAGCAGGAAATTGCGAAAGCGGGTTTTTTGGCCATGAATCATGGATGAAGACTTTGACGACGGATGCTGGCGTGTCCTCGGGGTCAACACCCCCACTGGTCGAGATCGCGGGCATGTTCGTTGAAACCATCAAGACAAGTTCTTCCCATACGTATACTGGAAAGTCTTTTCCGGGAGATCTGACCTCGCGAGGGAAGAGAAATATGGATCATCGCCTGCCGTGCGCGTGGATGCATTTCCACGAGTTATGCCACACCATGCTTAACGACAAGATTATGGTCACATTTTACCTGCGATTGTTCGACGCTTTAGTCAGGCCGACAGTCTTGTACAGTCTGTCAACGCATCTCCTTACAGTATCGAAGTTAGGGAGACGTGACGGAGTGCAACGAAAGATCATGAGACGCACTGTGGGCTGGGTGAGGCACGACGAGGAGGATAGGCATGACACAGGGCATCGCATGACAGAAATGTCGCATTCTGCGTGGTGCAGTACTCGCGTGGCGGTCTGGAGCCAGGCGCGCAGCAAGCAGAGGCGAAGACTGCTCGATATGATCAGACATCGACTGGCAAGCAACGTCTGTCGCATGTACCGCTGGTCGATGCGGCCAACTGTGTCTGGTCAGGACCTTACAGAAAGCGCGTCCGCCCGGCATGCAGATGGACTGAGTGATGGCATTCGCGCGCGTGTGTGTGTGTGTGTGTGTGTGTGTGTGTGTGTGTGGGCGTGGTGTGGTGCGGTTCTTGGTGTGCGTGCTGTGGTGTGCGGCTGCGTATGTTGCAAGACAACTTTGCATACTGTGTGTCCTCCCGTATCCTGTGCGGGATCTGTCTGTCTGTCTGTCTGCCCCAAGGCCCCCAGCAGGCCCCCTTGCCTTCCCGAACAGCTGCCACCCGGAATGCGGCGCGCGCACGGTGGCGGAGTTGCCGGAGGCAGCTGGACATCAACAAAAAGCGCCAGGCAGCGGGGCCGAACCTGGCTGCACGCAGCAGATTTTGTAGCCCCTCCTCTCCCACTCCGCCCCTTGCGTCAGGTCGGGCATGTCCCCCTACAGGCGGATTAGGGAACGAAAAAATAAACAAGTCCGAAAATGCCCAAAAGTAGTCGAAGAAAAGTCGAACAATCGCCCCCAGACTATTTTGAGACTGTTTATTTGGAAGATGCCTCCTGTAGGGGGATATGGCCCGACTCACCCCTGGCGTCCGTCCCGAGGATGCCTCCAGACTGGCCGCTGGCCTCGCACTCCGAGCACCAAAAGGTGTAGTTCCGCGGCGCCGGCCGCCCGCCGGCCGCCCCGCAGGCGGCCGACAGCTCGCACAGGGTCGACATGATGCTGTGGCACCCCACGGCGCTGCCGCCGCAGTCGATCTTCAGCACGGTGCCCACCTCAGGGGAACGAAGAATGACGTAAACAGAAAAACTCGGAGGTCCGCGCGGACTTCTCGGATCGGCGCTGGACCCCCCCCTGGCGGCGCCTCTGGCGCCGCCCGTGGCGCGCTCCGCGCGCCAGGGAGGGGGTCCAGCGGCGATCCGAGAAATCCGCGCGGACCTCCGAGTTATTATCTTGTGTCATTCTTCGTTCCCCTGCACCTGCGCGTCGACCTTGGGGACTGGGTCGTTGTCGGGCACGACGTTGACGCCTGCGCGGCGCAACGCGGACTTGCTGGGCGACGGATCGAAGATCCGGCGGGTGGAATGGAGCCCAGGGGCCGAGAACGTCACGGCCGTGATGTTCTCCTCGACCGCGCCCGCCAGCTGCGCGTAGCCGCCGCCGAGGGAGTGGCCGACGGTGTAGAACACGCTTCCTTCCTCCGCGTGATGCTTCATGTGCCTCAGGTAGTCCAGCAAGCCTTCAAGCTTCCTCTTGCCAGTCACGCGGTTCGGGCCCTGGCTATAGCTGGCTGGGTCCTCCAGCCAGCCGGCGAACACGGTCACGCCCTCGAGGATACGAGACATGGCAGGGATGTGGGGGCCTGCAAGACTGGCCAGCTGCAGGATCGCAGTGGGCATCCAGATGTTAAGGTCCTGGAGGATGTCGTACAAGCTCATGGTGCCCCTTACTGCGACGACGTGAGTCTTGCCCCTAGACAGGTGCAGAAAACTGAGATCGTCGAAGCCCTTCTGCTCCGTCCGGTTGACCTCCCAGCCAGGGAAGAATGTGTCCAACTCCCTCTTCGTTTCTTTATCGTCCTGAAGGGCAACGTTTGGGGGGACAGGCTCAGGGGGGGAGGGGGGGGAAACGTCGAGCTGGAATCGGAGATACATCACCGATACATCGGCGATGAGCCCCCGACAGCGGACCCGCACGCCCCTGGGGGGGAGACGCCATCGGGCCGCCATCGGCGATGAATGGGCGATTGGGGCTCGATGCTAACGTTGCCCCCGACGTCCGTGTAGCAGATCTGCGACATGCGTGCAAAGTCAACCAAGCTGAGCCGGTCATCGCCGCAGTGCCTCGACACGTTGTCGCCCTGCGCCATCGGCCAGGAGAAGCCGCAGAACGGATAGTTCTTGCGGCGATCGGCGACCAGGGGGAACACGAACTGCGGCCCGGAGCGATCGTGCACGTTCGCTCCGGGCAGGACCGTCCCGGGCGCCTCCGACGCAGCGTACAGGGCGGTGCCTGCGATGCCGACCAGCAGCACGAAGAACAAGGCCATGAAAACGCGATGCGACTGGAGATAGCTCTGTTATCTCACGAGGCTAGCCTGGGTTATCCGATGGGGAGGGAAGGCGTGCGGGCGCCTGCCGATAATTTAACCTTTTCGCTCTAGGCAGCCCCACGTGTGACCGTGCGCAGCTTCGGACCTGCGCCCCCGACAACATCAGGCTATCTGGGCGTGGCGTGGGCGGGCGGGCCAGACAACCCAGTTGATCGCCGGACCGATACATGATCGTGGCGAGGGATCCAACTGCATGCGGGTACGAGTGCCGCGAGGCAGGCGGGGCCAAACAGGTGCAGCCCCCCTATGGGGCTCGGATTCGTGTGAGGGGCGTGCCGAAGTGGGTGCGGTGGCGCCGTGCGAGCCCTGCCTCTGGGCCGTCGATGGGGCTCCCTATGGGGCCACGGAGCGCGTGAGGGGTGGACCGACATTGGTGCGGTGGCACCATGCGAACCCTGCCACTGTTGCTTTCAGTGGAGCTCGCGATGTGGGCACGAAACCTGTGAGGAATGTGCTGACACGGGCGCGGTGGCGCCATGCGAACCCTGTCGCTAGGGCCTTCGGGGGAGTCCCGAAATGGGGAGTCCCGAAATGGGCGCGGGGGTGCCATGCGAGCGCAGCTACCAGGGCCCTCGGCCATGGGGCCGAAGCGTGACAGGGGTGTGCCAGATTGATTGCGGTGGCGCGATGCGAACCATCCCACTGGAAGCATTGGTGGAGCTCTCTGTGGGGCCACGAAGCGTGTGAGGGGTGTGCCGAAATTGGTACGGTGGCGCCATGAGAACCCTGCTACTGGGGCTGTTGGTAGGGCTCCCTATGGGGCCACGAAACATGTCAGGCATAGTGTTGACATGGGTGCGGTGGCACCATGCGAACCCTGCCACTGGGGCATTCGGTGGTGCTCCCTAAGAGGGCACGAAACGTGCGAGGGGCGTGCCGACATGGGCGCGGTGGCGCCATGCGAACCCTGCCACTGGGGCCTTCGGTGAGACTCCCTATGGGGCTAGAAACCGTGTTAGGGGAGTCCCGACATGGGCGTGGTGGCGCCATGCGAACCCTGCCACTGGAGCCCTCGGTGGAAATCCCTATAGGGCCACGAAGCGTGTGAAGGGGTGCCGCAATTGGCGCGGTGGCGCCCTGCGAAACCTGCAAATGGGGCCGTGGGCGGGGCTGCCCATGGGACCACGAAGCGTGTGAGGGGTGTGCCGAAGTGAGTGCGGTGGCGCGAACCCTGACACTGGGGCTTTCGGTGGTGGGAGGGGTGTGACGACATGGACATGCGGAGGGCAGATGCAAGGATGAGCGGAGGGAGGACGGGGAGGGGGGAAGAGCGGGAGCAGGAGGAGAAGAGATCAGAGGAGTGACGCGGGGCGCTCTCAAAACGAAGACCCGACACCACAGGATGGTTGGGATAAAGCAGCTGCCTGATGCCCGCGCTCTCTCCACGCGCCCATCTGCGTCAGCAAGATCAGCAAGGCCGTGCGGCGCACGCCGGCCCAGCCGTGCAGGTCCGCCATGGCGGCCATGGCGGCCGCGGCGAGGAGCAGTAAGTTGATTACCATGATCTTCCAGAGGTGGTCCGGGACGAAGTAGGCGATGAAGAAGAGGAAGAATGCCCAGGTCCCCACGACGAGCGCAATGCTCTTGAGCGCCAGGGTCGTCCCGACCGCGAACAGGCCGAGGGAGAGCACCATGATGAGCGCAGACTTCCAGACGATCCTCATGGGCATCACCCCGCAGTGGATCAGGAAGCAGAGGGACCAGTGGACGGAAGCGGCGCCGAAGGGCTGGCCGAAAGACGAGCTGGACCCGGGCTGTCCGATCTCTCTCAGCATGCTGGCCGTCACGCCGTGCACCCAGGCTCCGAGGCGGTAGCGCAGCAGGAGCAGAGCCCAGACCGCGGCCGACAGCCAGAAGGCAAACACAAAGGGCTCCGCGTGGAACACGAGCTCTGGATCCCTCCGAGAGTAGACGGCGATGCTGAACACGCCGGCGAGAACGAGGTAGACCAGCAGCAGGCCGCTGCACCCGTCGCCCGAGAAGCGGTTCCTGGCGCAAACGCACAGGTTGAGCTCGTCCTCGCGGCCCGGCGGCCTGCGAGCCGCTCCAAGCACCTGCTCGGGGCATGCGCCAAGCACCTCCCGCGCCTGGCCCAGGAAGTCCAGCCTCGCGGCGCCCCGGCTCCGAACGCCGGTCAGCGCCCCGAAGCTCTCGTGCCGCGAAGCCGTCGCTCTGGAGCTCTCGCTGCTGGTCGAGCCCGCGTGGCGGAGGCACGCCTGGGACGGCGCGGCCGAGGACAGCGGATGCGAGCTGGGCAGCTCGACGGGCCGCGGGAAGAGCATCTTGGCCAGTACCAGTGCCTTGAAGACGTAGTCTATGACCGTGGACCAGCAAAAGTAGAACACCGTGTGGGCACAGGCAACCAGCACCGCGGCATCGACGAAGCGGCCTTCGGGGCCGCCGTCGTCGGTGCCGAGGTTGCTGGTGGAGCCGAGGAGGGCCCAGAGCACTGGCAGCACATCGAGGGTGAAGTAGATGCAGCACTGCCAGAGCACATCCAGCACCGCACGTAAGCGACCCTTGCAGCCCTCGCCGCGGAAAGCAGCGGGGCGGGCTGTGACGCGGAAGACGAGGACAGCCGGAGGGTCAAGCTCCAGGCTCAGTATGTCGTCTTTGTGCTCCTTGTCCTCCATGCTCTTCTCAAGCAGGAGCTTGGACCCCTGGAAGAGGCAGCCGGCAAACCTCTCCAGGAACAGGTCCTCCATCAGAGTTCCGTCGTCGGCCAGCGCACGGTGGATCCGCTGTCTCTCGGCATGGCTGCTCACGGACACCTCGTTGGTGCGCGCGATCGGGAAGGTGCCTGGACCCGCGCCTTCGCAGCACACCGTTCGGCGGTAGTCGATGAACATGTCGTCGCTGATGCAGTCTTTGATCAGCCACACCGCGCGCAGGCCACAGCTCACGAACACCAGGCAGTAGAGCAGCGTGTTCGTGAACGTGACCAGCACCGTCGGCCAGTCGTCTACCTCCAGCTTCAGCACCTCGCGGTCTCGGTGACGGGCCTGCATCTCGTGCATCAGCAGCAGGAACAGGCTCAGGAACGTGGACGCGGCCATGCCCACGATGACCACGATGGCCATAGTGAAGGCCCACACGTGGTAGACCTTCAAGATGCGTACAAACCACGAGGCCCGAAGGCTCCGCAGGGTGTGGGGCATCCTCCCCTCGGTGCTGCCCGTGAAGAAGCGCCGCCAGCAGGGTGGCGCCGACAAAGGCGACGGTGGCTCTCCGGCGGAGGCGTCATCCGATGCGGCGGCGCCAGCAGGGCCGAATGTCGCCAGCGACGGCCGCCGCTCGTCGGACGCGGCTGCGCGGCTGCCCGCGCCGCTGGCGGAGCTGCGCGGCCCGTCGAACGAGGAGCCCGCCCCGCCGCGGGAGGCAACAGCGTCCAGAGGAGGCGGCGGCGAAGCCTTCGGCTGGATGTGCTGCGCGTCGGCCGACTGAGCCTGGAGCTCGGTGGCCATCCCCGCGTGCGCGCCCCCCCCCCCCCCAGAGGTGCCCATGGGAGGCCAGCGGC